AACCTTGAAGATTCTCTGAAGTTTGTATATTGACCTAGAAGTAAAATGCATGTGTTTTATGACCAGCCTTGCTTTTGCTGTCAGAGAAGTGAGCATAATTTTGGATCTTCGTCTTTTTCATTCCTTTAATCTACAACACAAGTACTACTACACAATAGACCATGGTTTCCCCACATACACACTGACCTATTCATGAAACAATGAAGTATAGCTAGTAGCTGTTTCCTGAGCTATAGCAGACTTTGTGCTTTAGAGAAGAGTGCTACCAGAGGAGAGTTTAGTGAACAGAAATCTAGTTGCTATGAGGGTTTTCTGACAGGAGGATGGTATTTATAGTCTAGTAAGATGTCTTCTGTTTTGATACCTTCCCTTTTTTAGGAAACAGAAAAATAGAAAGTGAATGATACTGGAAAGATACCCCCATGATGTAAGTTAATAATCATGACATGATCCCACGAAAAGGATATTGTTTGTACCTTGATTACAATAATGCATTGTTTTAAAAAGCAAATCATCAATACCTTAAAAACCTTTGACTTTGTGGCAATAGATAGACCCACTATATTGACTAGCAATCAAGGATTACTGAGCATTTACCATTTAAGGAGCTCTGGCTATTTTCCCTACCATTTACTCTGGGAAGAAATCCAAGCAAAACACATACTTTCAGACTAACACATTACTTATTTGCCGTGATCTTTTTTACTTTAGCATATACAAGAGGCAATGAGGGAGGGAAAGGGATAAGAGTTTTAAGCCCTTTTCCTTTATACCATCCTTACAGGTTATCCAGATATAAAGATAACTTGTGACAAATAGCATAAGGAAAAGACGCTGGAGTATCAGAAATCACAATCAAAGTGTGGTCACTTACAACAAAGAATCAATGTATATACCTTGTCTGTGGTGGAGGCAAGCTAATTTTTTCTCTTCCACTACAATTTCCACTCAGCCATGATCAGCAGAACAGTTGTGCAGTCAGGCTGTCTTTGCCTGAGAGCAAACTCAAATGGTTTCTGGCTGCAAGGAGTTTTTCATCCATTTTGTAGTTTGATTGAAATCAAGACTGCAAGTGCTCCATGGACCACTTGTGGTTCACAGAACACAGTTTGGGAATCAATCAGCTAAAGACTCTGTGCAACACTCCTTCTAGATAAGACAATGTAACTACTGTGCAGAGTGCAGCTTACAGATGATGTAAATCATTTCTTCAATGAATATTAGACAACAGGAACTTGATCAGACTACTGCATTGCTGTGCAGGTGTAATTTTTTTAGAAAAAGGATAAAGATCTTAAATAGATTATAAAGGGTACATTATATTCTACCTTAATTCAAAGGTCATACTTTTCTGGAACCAAATATCATAAGCAATATAGCAGAAGGGTCAGTGTGATGTTTCATTCCATATTCTTTATGAAAATATGCTTATGATATAAATATGACATAACTGAGATGTACTGTATGCAAGATGGGTCTTGTAAGGTATCATTGGAAAGGTTATGATTTACTGAGTGTGATTATTCAATTTGTATGCCTGTATCATTTCTGTATCTGAAGTTAGGAATATTGACTATGTATCTGTATTTCAACTATGCTACTTTGGATGATGCCCACTGCTAACACTTCAGGTACAACAATGGAAAAGCCAGACAGAGCTCATGGCCCATCAGTGAGGACAATGGACTGTGAAAAGGCTTGGCCTTCCTGCGGATGCTCCATACTGCCAGTGACTCCTAGACGTTGTGATACTCCCGAGTCAGGTGGTCTTGTCACCGGATACTAAACATTACCTGGGACTTCTTGTAACTTTCCACTGAAGAGAAGGGGGGGTCAAGTTTGGGAAACACACGATTCCTGCCTTATGTAAATCCTATTTAAGGGTGGGGAGGAAGGCAAACGAGCCTCCTCTCCATGGCTGTCTGCCCAAGAAGAAAGACTGCTAAAGCCACCTGAAGAGAAGGCAAGGGGGAGTCCAGACTGAGACAGGGGTCTAGTCTGAAAAGGAATATAACTGGAACTCTGAACCACAGAAACATTGCGAAGTGCCTGCAACAATATCTATGGTGAGAAATACTATTTGTAACCAATTTCTTTGGTGATACTAGCTGTGTGCACGTTTGATTTTATTTGCTTAGTAATCTGCTTTGTTCTGTTTGTTACCCCTTTTACCACTTAAAATCTGCCTTTTATAGTTAATAAAATTTGTTTGGTTTAATAATAAACCTGGTTTACGTAATTTCTAACTGAGGGGGACAAGAAGCATGCACACCTCTCTCCACATTGAGGGAGAGGGTGAATTTAATAAAACCTTTGGGTTTGTACCCCTTAAAAGGAGCAAGCATCAGAGTGTTGGAGCAAGTCCCTTAAGCTGAGTCTTCCCAGAGCTGATCTGCAGCGGTGTGTGGCCCTGCCTGTGTGTGTGTTAGAGGAGGCTTTAATAGCCTGGCTCAGCAAGACAGGTAAAAGGGAGCCCATACTGGCAGAACAGGTAGACTCAGTGGTATCTCAGCACATCAGGTGGATTCCCAAGGGGTCCAACCCATCACAGTCAGTATCCCAGCTAACTACAAAAGACTGATTTAGCCAACATCTAGTTAAAAACACACCCGTTTACTTTCAAATTCAGGGCCTAGCCAGAGCAATCAGATTCAGGTCCATGCAGTAAGATGTTTGTATATTGACCTACAAGTAAAATGCAGCTGTTTTATAAGCAACATTGCTTTTGCTGTGAAAGAACTGAGCATAATTTTTTCTTTTAGCTTTTTCATGCCTTTAATCTATAATATGAGAACAGGAACCCTGACTTCACTTCCAAACTAATTCTATAATTGAAGTATTTATTAAAATGAGGACATTTACTGGAAATACGACACCTCTATCCCACCAAAGAGGAAGGTTGTGTGGCAGTGACAAAAGTATAATTCTGAGCTATTAGTCAACTCATTCTTCATTTAAATAGTACAACATACTCCTCAAGTCCATTAGTCTAGTTCAAGCATCTACAACATACTTCAATATTACCCCAAATACAGCAATAAATGTCTGTTCTTGAAATACTGTAATAGGAAAAAAGCAAACGTGGTGTTTCATATACATTTATTGGCTATTCTTTAAACATTGTAGTACCTTAAAAGGCTACTGGAATGACCAGCCTCTCTCTCTCTTTTTTTTTTTTTTTTTTAAAGAAAGGTGCGGGTCACAGAGAGTAATAAGCCAATATTAATTCACTTTGTTAAACAAAAACAAAATAAAGAGAAGCCCTGCCACATGCTGGATATTTCTACCTATGTCCTCAGCAGGGGCTGGGCCAATATCTGGGGCAGTACTGGCTACTTGTAAATAAAGTTTGAACTGCTGCTATTGCTAAGATGGAGAGAGCACACAGGGAAGCACTGCCAATAAAAGTGGGCTCCCTCCCAGAGCTGAGCTATGCAGTCTAGCCCCACCAGTGGGCATCTGATCTACAACCAAGGATTCTATGCTGTGCTTCTCTTCTGCCCAGCTTTGGGGGGGTGGAGGGGGGAATTGTTGGGTCTTGTCCTTTCAGAATATCGAAGGCTTAGAGATGGACAGTTCTAGTTCAGCTCTGGTACTGCGGCTGCCACCACCAACATGGCAAATACCTATGATTGACAGCGGCTTTACTCCTGGGAGTAGAGTCATTCATTTAAAATGAGAATGCTCACATTCACCATTGTTTGCAGGAGCTGACCCACAGTTAACAATACCCAGCTGTGGGTAGGGCACCCCCTTAGAAGAGGTAGAAGTGATTTGTGGGCCTGTAAAACAGGTTACATTAACAACAGGATCTCTCTGCTTCTGAAATAGATCAAGACTGGCCTACCACTTCCTATGACAGATGCTTTTCTATAAACATATTTTAAACAGGAAGGAAAAAGAAAACAAACCCTTTTCCTCTCAGACTTTAGCTTTTTACTTTTCTACACTTACTATAAAATGGTATATTGCCATCTCAGTAAAAATTATTTTCCAGCAATGGAATTTTTTTTCTGATCCTCAACCAAGTTACAATTATTACAATGATTTAATGAACTTAAAAAGACACCTGCATAAAGACTAACAGTTCTCTCTCTCTTACTTACATAAAAAAATGTAGTATTTTATTTTTAACTGCAATATTCCAATTACTGATCTTAGTCCAAAGGGCACAGAAAGTAGAGTACATAAATTATTAGCCCTATTACACTTTATTATCTAAGATAATAAACTGGAACTTTCATTTTTGTAGCTGTTGGGTAATGCAACAACATATTTCCAAGACCTACTGTACAAAGATGTTGAGATTTCTGATTTAGTCACTAGTCTTATTAAACCTCTTCCATAGTGGTTGCTCTTGAAAAATGCCAGTTGCCTTAGACAACTAAGAAAAGGAGTACTTGTGGCACCTTAGAGACTAACCAATTTATTTGAGCATAGTTTTTGTAAGCTACAGCTCACTTCATCGGATGCATCGTGAGCTGTAGCTCACGAAAGCTTATGCTCAAATAAATTGCGTAGTCTCTAAGGTGCCACAAATACTCCTTTTCTTTTTGCGAATACAGACTAACATGGCTGCTACTCTGAAATTAGACAACTAAAATATTCAAGGTATTTCTTATCATAAATATAGGGAGGACCAAGGAATATTGCAGATATGGAGGTAATCCTATAAAGACCACCACTGTAAGTGTGTCTCAGTCTGCTGTGTAGGGCAAGTCTCAAAATTTAGCAATCTCATGAGCTGAAAAACCCGTTATGAAGTTCTATATACAGACAATACCAGTACCATGTATTTAACACATTACGATGTATTTTGCAAGGTAACTATTACCATAATTTCCCAACACTGAAACGAATATAACATGAAACAATTGCACTAACATGTTTCCCTTGGATAATGCTCATTCATAATTAAAAGTGACGTATAAAGTGATCAAACAATAACAAACACCTGCAAAATTTTCATTCTAGCCTTATACACACTGTGTAATACTTACCTTCTGGCTCTGAAGGCCATCACCCTCATCAGAGATACCATCCTCCTGCTGGTCATAAGCTGGACCTCCTAGAAGCCTTATTCTCTTCTCACACTGCTTCTTTGCCACAGTCAGCTGATTAATGTACCTTTTCACATTGCGAGCCCTCAAGAGGTCAGCTTTCATTGCAGCAGTTTCTTTACCTTTAGTATCTGTGATAAACAGCAGAGAAGTAAGAAGTTATCTTTCACAACAGAAAACTTCAGATTACAAGTTTCTGAAGTGTTTGTCATTCAACATGTAACTGGATATTGAAGTAAAAATGCTTCCAAAACAGACAGGTGGTAATAGAGTATGTTCTGGGATATCTCCACTAACATAGCAAGTATACATATAAAATAGTTAAGAGAAAAATCATGCAAATATACAAAGTATTTAAACACAACTCCACATATCTGTCATCTGACCTCATCCAGCACTGTGTCCCTGTTATTCCAGTATCTACTTAAGAGATGGACTTGCCGGCTGAAACCCACTCAAAACAAAGTCCTTTAAGACTATACCAAGACTGGAAAATATGTTGCTAAATTTGCGATGACATGGGAAAAATATTTTAAAAATTCAACAGAATGACGCCTGTGCATAAAACATAGGCCTGTGCTTCAAGTTTCCACACTTCCTCATTGCACCTTCTCCGTAGTTTTTAAAATGCCTAGTTAAAAACACAGATAAAAACCAGCACTGAAAATTATTCCTGTACTATGCCTGAATGTGAACAACTCCTGCAAATCCATTCTGTTTCTTAAAAGGTACAATGCTGTTGCTCAATCACAAAACTTCTTATACTTGTGCAGGCACGTAACATGAGCTCTGCAGCAAGCTACATGGACAATTCAGGTTGTACACAACTCAGGATTAAGCCAGTATTCAGGGATGAATGGTCAGTTCTTTATTCATTTGGCCATGTTTTTATAATGTAGGAATACTAGAAAATCCAGTTATAGAGATGAATATAGTGTTTTATTTTTTAAAAAAACAGTTGCCTCAAAGAAATAACCACATGGGAAGAAGTATACCTGCAAGTGTGCTACAGGGAAAGCCCGTATGAATGATTTTAAACTCACATTTTCAATTAGGTTTCAAATACATTAAAGATTCATCTTACGATCGGAGTATTATTTTTGTCTACTTTAAAAAAAAAACAGAAAGACTTCCACCTACCTTCATTATATAATAATATTTACATATACACATAGTGATGGTGGATGGGAGACTTTCTGGGTTAACCAAACATATACACACACAAAAATACGTATATATATCCAGGTTTCAGAGTAGCAGCCGTGTTAGTCTGTATTCGCAAAAAGAAAAGGAGGACTTCTGGCACCTTAGAGACTAACAAATTTATTTGAGCATGAGCTTTCATGAGCTTGATGAAGTGAGCTGTAGCTCACGAAACCTTATGCTCAAATAAATTTGTTAGTCTCTAAGGTGCCACAAGTACTCCTTTTCTTTTTACATATATATCTGTGTGTGTGACATAGAGACAGGCAGCCATAGATCTGGAGCTGCTCTATCACAATTTGTCTGAATATTATCTGTTGCCTGGCTATTGGGGAGTTTTCTATATGACTGTGTTGGTTTAATCTCAGCAAGAGTTTGTCTGGAAAAAAAAAACAAGCAGGCAGGAAGGAAAAGAATAGCTCAAGACAGCCATCTCTCAAACACTTAGTAGTTGTTAATGAACAGCAAGAGAACTATTAGCTTTTGATAATTTTACCTCCACCTCAAGCCACCCTACAAAGCTGATTTTGACCAGGATAGGAAGAGGCCAAGGAACATATAACTGTAATGGAACTTAAAAGGCCACTGTCTCAAGAAATCAATTATTTCGGGGAACCTGACAGAGACACAGGGACCCACTGTCTAGGTCACCATCACAGAATGGTAGTGCGCAAGGTCAGATTGACCTGCCTGTAGACTGTTTTGAAATCCTTTTTTCTGCAATATTTTGTTCCTACTGCTAAGATAAATAATCTTTGGCTTTAAGAAGGCTGTCTGATCATAGTATACCACTGGCCACAGACTCCCAAAGGGAAGAAATGCACATGTCCAAACTCAATAGGACCTGCTGGGTAAAAATGCTGGATATCAAGGACTGTAGCCCGGAGCCTGGTCTACGAGTGGGAGAATTGTGCAATTCCACCGTAGGATAGGTGAACACATTAGGCCAAATGCATGAGAGGGTGCACCAGAGAGACCACAAAGGGGTAGCTAGCCATGTAACTGTGCGTACGTGAAAGCAAGAACACGCATGCACGCACACAGAGGGAGAGCATTAATAAAAGGCAGGGAGGGTGAGAGAACGAGCGAGAGAGCAAACACCCATGCACATGGAGGGAGCGCATTAATAAAAGGGGTGGCAGGAAGCCTTTTAGTTTAATAATTGGTGTTGTTTTGGTGTTTGACAAGAAACATTTGGGCTGCAATCATTCAAATGGTCATTATCAGAATGTTTTTGTTTTATCTTATGGCTTGCAGTGTGAATGACAAGTGATAGATTTTAAATTCTGCACCTCCCAATACCTGTCAAAACTCTTTGTTCATTGTACTTTTTGCAGTTTTGGTAGGGGGGCATATTGTACCTCAAGTCTTTTTCCCCCCTCTCCTCCACTTCTCCCTTTCACATATGCAGCAACTTTTAACCAGGAGAGTGAAACAATAAATTAAATGCTCTGTTGACTCATAGATAAGACTGCACACCATCGAGACAGATGGCTCATTTTTGATAGTGAACTCATTTTGTCTTCTGCTTGAATGAGTATCATCACTATAATTGACTATTTACATGGCTTCATGGATTTGCCTGACACTTGATAACACAAAGTCCTTATATTCTAAGGCAGTGTTTCCCAAACTTGGGACGCTGCTTCTTCAGGGAAAGCCCCTGGCGTGCCGGGCCGGTTTGTTTACCTGTCGCGTGCGCAGGTTCGGCCGATCGTGGCTGCCACTGACTGTTCCAGGCCAATGGGGGCTACGGGAAGCGGTGGCCAGTACGCTCCTCAGCCCGTGCTGCTTCCCGCAGCCCCCATTGGCCAGGAGCGGCGAACCGTGGCCAGTGGGAGCCGCGATCAGTCGAACCTGCGGATGCGGTGGCTAAACAAACCAGCCCAGCCCGCCAGAGGCTTTCCCTGAACAAGCGACGTCCCACGTTTGGGAAACAGTGCTCTAATGTATATAGGTCATACACAGAGTAAAGGCATAAACAGGCAAAGGAAGAGGAAATAGTGGGGTGAGAAAATGGGAAAGTTCTTGCAGCAATAGCTGTGTTTATATTTTGTGTATGGGTTACAGACAAAGGAATTCAGAGGCTGCATTCATCTTGAGTGGTCTTAGGTTAACTTCCTGGGATGTTCCGTTTCATAATACAGTATTAGCATGGTTGGTAGACAGACTGTCAATGGAGAGTGACAGAATGAAGAGGAGTGGCAGAAAAGTGGTGGAAAGCAGTTTTGCAGAAGGATTTGAAGAATAAGGTGAATCAGGTGTAAGCCAGGGAGAGGCCGAGTGGTGTCCTGAATGGGAAGTGACAAAAGGAGCATTAATTAACAGAGGTGTAAGTTAGTAGTATGAGAGATTCAGAAGGAACAGAAGAACAGTTATGGGATAGGGAAGCTCATGTACCCTAAGGTACAAATTCCTCTTATCTATATGGATATCTACCATTTTTAAAGAAGAGCTAGGAAACGGGAAAAAAGGAAAAAATGTGTCTGAAATAATTACTAATGCAGACAGTTTGCATGGATGATATAACTAATATGTACAGGTGAAGATTTGCCTGAAATACTCTGTTCTGTCTGTATGCGAATGGTGGAAACCAGTCCAAAGAAACAGACATTAAAATGGATACAGATGGCAAAACCCAAGTAGGCTACAGTAAGATACGAAGCCATTATCACCACATGCTGGTGGCTTGTGCTTCTTCTCTTCTGCCCTATCATTTAGGGGCAACTGGCGGAGATCTTGATCTTGTGGGGTTCTCTGGGGACAATTCAGAGAGAACCTAGTACTCAAAAATTCATGCTGCACTCTAGAAAAAGGGAGACTTCCCCTTTCAAAAGTTTAAAATCCAGGACATGAGAGTCCCATATTACAAAATGGCAGTTACCTCCCCCAGAAAACATATATAGTTGAACATAAAGGAAACAACTTAAAATTTGCCGATAATCAGGAGAAAGGTCACCGACCACATGGGGACGTCACCTGGGGAAAACAGGTCAAGGAGAGAAAAACACGTTTGTTTCAAGTACTCCTCTTGAAAGATTTTTGCCCCATCCCTGCCCCTAACAGCATACAATGCGTGTTAAAGTGAAAGGAATTGAAAGTTTTTTATTTTAAAAAATATGGGTGAATGTTGTCAATTCTACAGGATTACAAGTGTGCCGTGTTTCTACATGCAAAGGGTGGGGGAGCAGAAACTAGAAGTAAAAGAAGTGAAGCTGGCCGGAAAATTTTCAAAGTACTTTTTCATCAGATTTTGCAAGACATTTAGATTTTAATGAATTGGCAGAGTCCTTTTGATTTCAATGAAGCCATTTCAGAACTAAGCAAAATAAAAACAATGTATTTTATTTAATTTAGACTTTCCTGTTTCATTTTAACTTGATGCTGGAAAATCCATTTCAGTGCAGTGTGTTGGTCACACTTGGCACATGTTCTTTCACTCAACGAATGAGTATCGGTTCAGTTTATCTACATGAACTCCCAAGTTGGTTAAAAATGACTGACTGACTCCAGAAGGGTTTCTTCTGAAATGTGACAAAGGTCTGTTGATCAGGAACACCCCACGCACACCCAAAGCAGGAAAAGGAGGAGATGCTAAACAAAGCCCAGCTGTTGTGTTGTTGGTGTCAGTATTATAACACATGGAGATGTGTACTACGTGCTCCAGGGAGCCAGGACTGTGCAGTAGGAGTAAGGGAAGTGGCGTTATAGGCCCTGGCACCATGTAACAAAGGAACAGTTATTATATTACCTTGTTAACTGTTAGAACAACACAAACAACTATTTTGGGGACTGAAGGCATTGGGAGGAGGTATATATAAACCAAACTTTAAGAAAAGGAGATTGGCTGGGACGCCTCCTCTTCCCTGGGTGGAACCAGGGGAAGATCGTTCAGCCAGACTAGCCATGGGAACCAGCTGGGCTGTAG